AAGCCTCCTTTACTGTGCACATGCATTGCGCGGACAGCAAACGGGAAGCACAACGTGCAACACTGGGGGCGCCAGGTTGGCTGCAATACCTCACCGAGGTTTGAGCTGACAGTCAAGTGGTACCGAATTCGCGTGTGTGTGAAGGAGTGCGGTGGAACAGTGCACCACATGCTACAACGCATCGGGACTGCCATCCTCTACTTTCTTGCTTCCATGTCCTGAGCACACTTTGACAAGTCCACTCAAGCATTAGAGCCGCAATGGAATGGTAGACCTTCACCTAACCGGCCTATCGACTTGTCAATCCTCCACCCAGTTATCATCATGCAGGTCCTCCCTCCAACATCACACCATTCGCATCCGCCCTATGCCTCTTTTAACGCAAACCACTCACTGATCACTCATCCACACTCTCCCCTTCTTCCTGGCCCTCCTCCTCCTCCGCATACTACTACTACTTCTTATTCTTCGCGTCCTACTCCGCCTCCGCCTCCGCCTCCTGCTCGTCGTCGTGTTTGCCGACAGAGAGGATGTGTATGTGTGAGAGTGTGATGAAGGTGTGCCGACTTGTGGAGATTCTGTGGGGTATGAAGAGCTGACACAGTCTTCTGAAGTTAGCCTGAAGCATGAACAAGAGTGAGGAGCAACCTCTTTCCACCGCTGAATGCATTCTCAACAAACCCTCCGCAGCATTAACTTTTCAGCTTGCAATGCAATTGCGTGAATACACGCGGGACAACGACTCTAACCTCACGCAGGCACTGAAGCGATTAGTGCAGGTGCACTCTCCGTTGTTGAAGCGAGACCACGTTTTGTGTTCTCTCTCGCTCTCGCTCTCTCTCGTGGCACTTGGCCACGCAGAGAGCAATGTTGAACAGGTCAGGCGCAAAGAAACTCCACCTCATTGACTTGAGGTAGAAAATGGAGTTGAGCACAGTTAGTTGCTGAATGAATCACTTACACGGAGGCAATTAGCAAGTGGTTCAGCTCTGGTAAAACATGCACGCAGTTGAGCAGTCGACATGTAGCAGTGGTGAGGGTTCGGTGGCGAAGCAGTTGGCAAATGCAGGGGAGAGATGTGAGTACAAGGAGTATTCGCAAGTCTTCTGCACACATGGTAATTGTGTTGGATGTGAGGGAGAGAAGTTTCCTTCTCGTGTGTATCAGTGATGGGTGCAGAGGCGAAGGAAGGAGGTCAGTGTTTGTGGTGTTTTTGTGTTTTTGTTAGACACAAGGCATATGAAGTGATGAGGTGAGATGGC